GCTCTCTGGATTTTTCTCCCATGAGTATCACTGAGACACAGATTAGAAGTACTAAGGATGACCTGGATACATGAACCCACTAATGCCACTACCATCACCTCCTCCCCTTGTCTTCAGTAAACTGATAAAAACTCAGTTTGCAACCATAATGAAAGTATCTTCCAGAAGTGCTGAGCCATATCCTTTTCTTCTATGCAGTCAAAAATATAAAAATCATAGCAATGTAATGACTGTAATCTCTAGTTTTTGCACACCTCTAACCTGGGAAAACATCTTTCCCACTATATCCTACCCCGTACTTTCTTTTTCTGAGTTATTTCCTCTATTTCATACTTAAGAAACTTAAGAAACTTTTTTCCTCTCTTTCATATGTAAGAAACATTTTTTCTTTTTATGCTGAAGGGAAATTTAACTTTTTATTAGTTCCATTTTTTCTTTTTTTACTGGTTATTAACCGTGGAAAAGCACATAACGTTAAATCTGAGTTACAGGCCCATGTGGGTGTTGTTATTGTCCCCAATCCCATATCCTCCTGCTTTGGCATCCGTTAATCTAGTTTGCAATGATCTGTGTATTGTCCAAGTTCACACTAGACTGTAATCTCCATCAAAGTAGACCCCTGTACATGCAGTTCAGTGCCATATCTCCAAATAGCAGAATGCCTGCTACCTAGAGGGTCTTGATAATTTTCTTGGTAATTACTTTCCCCCTATAAAATATTCATATGAAAACTAATATTTATCCAACGTAGGTCTTCACCCATTAACCCCTTCAAGTGATATATGTGGCTTTCTGGTTTCAGTTTAAATCAATGAGGTGTAACTTTGGAGAATTCTCTAAGGATCTCTAAGATAACTTGTAGCATCCCTAGTTGTTTCTGTACAAGGACTAAGAAATACTAGTCCTCGGGTGCCTGGGTGGCTCAGTCGGTTGAGCGTCCAACTTTGGCTCAGGTCATGATCTCATGGTTCATGAGTTTAAGTCCCACATCGGGCTCTGTGCTGACCGCTCAGAGCCTGGAGCCTACTTCAGATTCTGTGTCCCCCTTGCTCTCTGCCCCTCCCCCACCCATGTTCTGTCTCTCTCTGCTTCTCAAAAATAAAGAAATGTAATAATAATAAAAAAAAAAACTAAGAAATACTAGTCCTGAGATTCTTCTGTGGCAAATCCCAGCACAGATATGGTAACCTGCAAATACCTGATTTTTTATGTCATTAAATCCTGTCAACAATCAAGGAGTCCCTAAAGCAAGTCTAATTATTCGTGAATTTCAGTATGCAGCCTTAGAGACTCAAAAAAATTAAGTAGACTTGAAATCAAATGGGTCAACATGGCAAATCATGTGGTAGAATGATGTCTGGGGCCGAAACAACCCCGTCTGGCCACTGTACCCAAATAATTCCACCTACTGGCATAGAGGAAATTCTTTGCTATTTAAACTTAAGAAGAAAGGGCATTAAATATTTAAATATAAAGCCTTGGTTATTGCTTCCAGCAGTAGAGATACATTACACTCTTTTTTTAAAAATTTGGTCTTTGATTTTCCCCCTTTTATGTATTTTTATTATTTTTATTTAAGTATAGTTGACACACATTACATTAGTCTTAGGTGTAGAGCGCAGTGGTCTGACAACTCTGTACATTATGCAAAGTTCACCACAAGTGTAACTACCATGTCTCACCATAAAACACTGCGACAATATCATTGACTATATTCCCTATACTGTATCTTTCATTTCTGTAATTTATTCATTTCATAAGTGGATGCCTGTACCTCCGTCTCCCTTTCGCTCATTTTTCACATCCCCTGCCTCCTCCCCTCCAGCAACTATCAGTTTGTTCTCTGTATTTATGGGTCTATTTCTGCTTTTTTTTTGTTTTTGCATTTTTTTCTTTTTAAGATTCCACATATGAGTGAAATCATATAGTATTTGTTTTTCTCTGACTTATTTCACTTAGCATAATACCCTCCAGGTCTATCTGTGTTGTCCTAAATGACAAGATCTCATCCTTTATATTGCTGAGTAATATTCCTTTATATTGCTGTGCGTGTGTGTTTCTACACAAGCATGCATGCATGCGTGTGTGTGTGTGTGTGTGTGTGTGTGTCTCCACCTAACTTTGCATTTGAGCCCAGACCAGTTGTGCTCAAAGGCCTCCTCTGCCCTGTAAGCATGCCCTCTTACTCATACTTAAACCCTTATAGTGATAGAAACTCAATCCTTCACAAGTTATTTTATCCCATTAATTTTTTTCTTTCTACACTGAAATGAAATCTAACTTTTTATTAGTTCCATTTTTTTTTACTGGTTATTCACCGCGAAAAAGCATGTAATAATTCTAATTAGCAGCTGCTCATGAATTTGAAAATAAGTGTCATGTCTCTGCTTTTGTATGCAAAATGTCCCAAGAGCTTTCATAGTGGAAAAGTTTGAAGCTTTGGTCTGGAATCAGATCTGGAAAAGATCTGAGATTTAACCTCAGCTCACTTTGCAGCTATACGATCAAGTTCTAAAACTCCCAGTGCTTTTATTTCCTCTCCTATTTAATAAGATTGTTTTGAGACCTAAATTTAAACATAAAAGAACAAAAGAATAATAATAAATTAGCATAGTACCTGCCAAATGCTCAATGTATATTACTGTTATTTTTATTAAATCTTTTTCATACAGGATGGTTTAAAGACACTTTACCAATTTATAATATTCCTTTGAAAGTACTTAGCTTATTAATGTTTTTTTTTGTAAGGTGCATTTGCTAGAAAAAAACCACATAAGATGATAATTAAATAATTCCTTATTATTGATTATATCCTGTCTGCAACAGTGATACTCATTGTAAATATCTACATAGTCCTAAAAATGTTTGCGTCCTTGAAAATAAGGTGTTGCAATATTACCACATGTAAAGACAGGCAAGTAAAGGAGGCAAAAAAAAGTACTCAGCCTGAAGCCTTGAAGTCAAGATTGGAGTCCATTCTCCAGGCCAGCAGACTTGAAAGAAATGTAGATGTTTTCCATTTCAAAACATCTATAATTATTTTGTCTTGGGGGTAAATGTGGTTAATTTTAACCTAATTGTTCCCTCAGAACTACCACTGTGAATCATGAGAAATGTCCAAAGGGATCTGAAGGAGATGACCCAGAGGGAGTGAATGTGTTCAAGTCTTGAGGGTATATGCTCTTGGTACCTTATTTTATAAACACCTAAATCTCAGTTCCTGTGGCTGGGGTACTTTGTGTTCTTCTGGGAACCAGAGAGTGTAACTTGGGTTATCTTGTTATTGTACTACAGAAAATTCCACCATGTTCCCTGTGAACAGGGTGTGTGTTCAGATTTTTTCTCACCTCTCACAGACATCTTTCGCTTCTTATTCACCAAAGTGTTGGGATCCAGTTGTTGGGAGTTGTTAGGTTTTTAATTCTTGAAGATGACTCTTACTTGAAAAGGACTGAGAAAACAAGAGGATCATAGATTTGTTGTCTTAGGGATAGTAAATTATCCCTGGAATGGGATATTTAATGGCAAGTTAGTGGCCATTAAATATGGAATGGCATATTAATCACTGAGCGTGGTTACAGTCAGAGAACTCTTGAGTCTTCACTGACCAAACGAGGAAAGATTTCCAGGGCGAGGCTTTGATGAAACTTCTTCAAGGATGGAGTCCAGATAAGTCAGAATTTCACACAGACCATCTTCTAGTATGTCTAGAGTGAGTAACGAGAAACAAGTTTCTGGTAAACACAGGTGATTTTTTTTTTTTTTTCAGGATGTCACTGACTCTTTCTTTGGAGTCTTCATTTTTCTCTGCATCTAGCATTGTAACTACATGTTGGTTTTGGGTAATTTTCTTTCTCTCTCTTTCCTTAAGTTCATGGCTTTATTAAAGTACAACAAACATTCAAATTACATGGCAAATATAGAGCCCAGTGTGTTTTCACACAAATATTCTCTCCTGTCTCCTCAGTGTGAGAATCCTCTGTCCATAAATTGGAATTTGTCTGCAAATGTTTACTGCTCATACTGCTGCCACATAATTTCAGAATTTCTTTGGGGCAGGGCTGGAAAAAAAAAGAGGGGGGTGGACACCAGTTAATTCTTCATGGTCTTTGATTGGGAAGCACCCTTTATCAAGTTGTCCTGTCAAAGAGATGGGTTTTCTATTGGAATTTCAGCATCCGGAGGAGCCACCACACAATTCTGCAATAGTGACCCCTCTCAGCTCAAAAGCACAAGAGAAAGAAGGAAAAAGTGGAAGCATAGCTGTGGGGGCCTCTCCTCCAGGTTTTATTTCCTTTTCACAATCTGCTTCCTTCTGTTTATGTTCAAAAGTTTTTAGGTAAATACATTTTGTGTTTTGTCTAGTGGTTTTTTTTTTTAAGTTTTATTTATTTTAGAAACCTCTAGACCCAACATGGGGCTTAAAGTCTCAATCCTGAGACCAAGACTTGCATGCTCTTCTGACTGAGCCAGCCAGGCGTCCCTCCAGAGTTTTTAATTGTAGTCTCTGGGGAAGATAGAATATAGTGAACTGAATCTAACTTGGCCCAAACCAAAGTTTTCAGAATACAGTAAAAAATTTTTATTTTCTTTATCTTTTGATGTAGAAATGCCCTTACAGGGGCGCCTGGGTGGCGCAGTCGGTTAAGCGTCCGACTTCAGCCAGGTCACGATCTCGCGGCCCGTGAGTTCGAGCCCCGCGTCAGGCTCTGGGCTGATGGCTCGGAGCCTGGAGCCTGTTTCCGATTCTGTGTCTCCCTCTCTCTCTGCCCCTCCCCCGTTCATGCTCTGTCTCTCTCTGTCCCAAAAATAAATAAAAAACGTTGAAAAAAAAATTAAAAAAAAAAAAAAAAAAAAAAGAAATGCCCTTACATAAGGTTTACTGTTGATTGTTAAAACATGAAACCTACACATCCATCCATTGGAGAGATTCTCAGTTTTACATCAGTGTTCACACTTTGGACACCTATGTTCTATTGGGAGTCCAACATCTGACGAAGATGGGGAATGCTTCAGTGGTGACCAAGTTCATCCTGCTGGGCATCCCACACACGGAGGATCTGGAGACTACGCTCTTTGTCCTGTTTTTGGGCTGCTACGTCTTCACTCTTATGGGGAACCTGCTCATCCTACTGGCGATTGT